TTCTTTCCAACTCTAATATCCTATGATTGTATAAGTGACTTGGTAGAAAAAAATGAAAAATAAAAATTTTTTGAAACTTTTATTCTAAATGGTATATGTAAAAATAATAAAGAGGAGTACATAGAAAAAATTAATAATGTTTCTAGCAACCTAATGACCTCATGGATGATTTTTATTTTCAAATAAATATTTTATATCTTTTAAATCGTCATAGGCTATAATTAACATATATTTTTATATGCATAGAATAAATAACACATTGTGACAAAAAAAAAAGACTGTTGAAAAGGCAAGTATTGCTTTAATCTATTTTCCAACTAATTGTGGCTTCAGGAAGCTAAGTTATTACTAACTCGGATTGGAGATGCTGGTAGAGATCATCCAAAGCAGAAAAGCATTCCAGAAATAATCTACGGAGTCAGAGAACTCTGGAAATCAGTCTTGACCCTGTGCAGTATTTAATGAAGCAGAAATTAAGTCTATGCATATGCTAATTAAAGATGAAATCTCATATTAATTTTAACAAACTGGCTACCTATTCACTGATTGCTGAGTTCAGGGAAGAGTGATGTTCAGTTCAGTCAAGGTCGGAGCAAAAGAGATAATAAATTGGATTTGTTTGATACAAGCAGACAGCTTTTATTCCTAGGATATTTGCATTGCTTTGTTATTAAAGTTCTTTTCATTTCGGATTAATGCATGAACTCTTCCAACTAAGATATATTAACATTAGCATTTTCTGAAAGGTCTACCTTGGGCATCGTTTCCCTGGCAACCAATCACTGCTGCTAGGCAGGGAAAAGGCCTACTTCATTCTTCTAAAGTGTCACCAATTTACATATAATTCACACATACATGTGCTGTGGGTGACTGTGTGCATATGTGTGTCAAAGAATGCATATATATGTAGATGTTCAACAATATCACAGATGGGGGAAAAAACAGTGTCCTTCCAGGAAGTGGAAACCTTGGACATTATAGTAGACTTTGCCTTTATAGGCAAATCAGATTGGAGCCATTAACACGTAATTTTGTCAAAGAAAAAAAATGTTATGTGCTATTTATATTTGCAAACTTCCAATGCTTACTATGGTTGAGAAAAAAAATGTAAGAAATATAAGCTCCTGGATATTCTATGACTTCAAGATTTCACCCTGATACTGTTTTAAATAATTTTTAAAAGTCAGACAGAAGCATAATATTTGAGGTGAGAAATTCCTTATGCATAAAAAATTTTGGAATTTGTGTAGAACAGAATTAGTAAAGGAGGAATATGAGGATACTTTATAACTAATAGGAACATATACAGATATAGTCATAATAATTATCATATGTAAAATGATAGTGACATCATCATTACTTTTGGTTGTAGCCAGCCTCCAAAATACCGATGATCCCTGCCTCTTGGTAGTCACACCTTCATATAGTCCCCTCTTACTCTTTACCAGGGTTGGTTGGAGCAGGCCATGGAATATAGCGGAAGTGATGGTATGTCTCCTTGGATATAAGGTTATAAAAGACACTAAAGCATTTATCTTGGTTGCTCCTTCTCTTTCTGGGATACTGTGTTTTTGAGAAAGCCAACTGTGTCATGAGCAGCCCTATGGAGAGACCCAGATGTGGAAGAACGTCTGGCCAGCAGCGCAATGAGCTAGAACGCAGAGTCTTAAAAGCCCCGTTAAAGAAACGTGTTTAACAAACTCAGTGATCTAACTAAGGAGATTTTCAGAGAAAGGGTTGAAAGTGTTTTCTGATTTCTTCTTGCTACTTATCAAGTTGAGAAAGAAGATACATGAACTAAACAAAGACCCGTTAAAGACTAATGAGTTGGGACTTAATGATTTTGAGAATTCTCAGCCCCTCCAGATGGGAAATAATGCTAAAATTAAGAAATGGCTCCCTAGTAAAGAACACAGAACAAATAAAATAAGCTATCTATTCTCAAGGGGTTTATAATCTAGTTTGGCAATGGACACATAATAACTAAATATAATACATGCAGAATCAAATATATGATAAATAGAAGTTCTAAGAAAGTGATAAAGGACTATGGAGGAAGGGTCGTAAAAGGGTTCCTGGAGAGTATGTGCCCTTTAAGCTGCACCTTGAGTGACACGTAGATATTGGCAGGGAAAAGGATAATAAACCTCCGAATCTCCTTTTATTGATCCTAACAAAGGATCATCTTGCCTGAGATATTCAGAATCACCATATCTAGACTTTCAATGTGCAGCAACCATGTACTTTGGTAAAATGCAAAACACATAACCAATAGAAGGTGCCTGTGCAAAATAATTAATTAGTCTATACGTATGGACCAGACAATGTTTGCTCCTCTGAGGAGGAATGAATTACTGCTGCTGTCCTCAAGGGGCTTCTGTTTTAATTGGGGAAACTAGGCAAATAGTATTACTTTTATTTTAGACATTATATACAGATTGCATAAAAAAGGAACACAGCTCAAACTGGAGAGCTTACAATATTTTTAATAGGCTGATTCTTGAGTTGCGTCCTGAAGGATCATCATTAGATGAAAGAAGAAAAAGCAATATTACATGAGGAAAAAAATTATTCCAATGTTAGAATTTGAAAGTGAACATGGAGCATTTAAGGAACTCTAAATAACTCAGCAGAGTAAAGCATAAATGTGAAAAAGAAACAGCAAGAGGGGAGAGGGGGAAGGTAAGCCTACACATTGCTGAGAGTGTTTCAGTGGTTAAAATGTTGTTAGTGCATCAGATCTGATTGGTTACCCTTCAGGTTCCTTCCACATTAAAAATCATGTGAAGTGCTCATCACCACTATTGACCTGGTGCAGTAAATCATGTGAATAAACACAATCTCTGCTTACACAACTAAAGTTGCTGTAAAAAATTCATATTCTCAACCAGCAAAAGATCATTCAACTAGCTCATTTGCTTTTAAAGTTCAAAATGAAGATAAGACGATAAATAACTATTTACATATTACTTTTTAAAAGTACATACTGATATTTTGGTTTAAAAGCAATTATATTTATACTAGAGGCCCAGCATGCGAAATCGCATGGCCCTGCCCACCTGTGCACGCACGCCCACCCATGCACGCTTTCGCAGCGCTCGCACCCACACCCGCCTCACCACGCCCACCCACCCACAGGCCACCAGCCTTTCTGCAATCAGAGCCTGTGGGCCTCACCACATGAGCCGTGAGCTGCTTGTAGGCAGAGCAGGGGGTGGGTGGGAACCGAGAGGTGCTCTATGCACCTCCTGGTAACCAACCAGTCATCACGGCATTACGGCCACAGGCCTTTTATAATATAGATGGCTCTATGCTTTCAACAATTCTAAGAAATCTTTACAGAACACTGCATGCATGTAGTCTGGTTTGGTGCCAGAAGGAGATTGATCATTAAAAAATTACCAAATAAAATAACAAGCTAATACTTGAGAGGAAATATTTGTGAATCATCTGTGTTTGTGTTTATATATATAAAGGAAGTTTATCCAGAAAATATAAGAACTCTTACAATCCAATAAGAAGACAAACAACCCAGTTAAAACATAGGCAAAAGATCTGAATAGCAGACATTTTTGCTAAATAGGATATGCATATAGCTAAGAAGCACATAAAATATACTGAATATTATCTGTCATTAGGGAAATATAAATTAAAACCACAATCAGTTCCCACTTCAGACCCCATAGAGTGGCTGCTAACTCTAACACATGAACAACAAAGGTGAACTCACTCATTTTTAATGGGAACATAAGATGGTGCCAGCCATTTTGAAAAGCTGTTTGGCAGTTTCTTTAAAAGTTAAACATAAATTTACCATACAACCCAGCAGAACTGAAATTCCTAGGAATCTACCCACCAGAACTGAAAACATATGGCCACCCAACACTTATATGTGAATGTTCATAGCAGCATTTCATAATAGGTAAAAAGTCAACACAACCCAAATATCTATCAACTGATGAATAGATTAACAAAATGTGGTATGTCCATACAATAGAATACTATTCAGCAATATAAAGAAATGTACTACTTGTCTATGTTATGATGTGAATGAACCTCTAAAATATTATGTAAAATGAAGGAAGCCAGATGCAAAAGATTACATATACTATGATTCCATTTATTTGAAATGTCCAGAAATGCAACTATAGAGAGACATAAAGTATATTAAGTAATCATCTAGAGTAGGGTGTGAAAATGGGCGTGACTGAACATGAGCACAGGGATATTTTGGGGAGGTAGCAATGTTCTCAAATTAGATCAGTGAGAAATTTGCACAATTCTGTAAATTTGCAAAAAAATCATTAAATTGTACACTTACATGGGTGAATTTTGTGGTATATAAAACTATTTTAAAAATACCTCTTTTTAAAATAATATCCACTAGACAGTAACCTCCTTTGAAAATGGAGAAATATAAATGGTCTCAGGGTCTCTCACTCAGTAGGTGGCGCTTCCGGTTGGGTACAAAGGCACACCTCATGAATCCAGGCTTCCATCATTTCAGCAGGGAGTAGGAAGAAGTAAACTAATGTTTGTACTTAAGGAAGGCATTTTGTAAGCAAACTCACCATGTACACAAGCTAACAGGGGCAGAACTGGAATGTTTACAAAGAACAGATTTTTCAATCCCCTGTGAATATTGTAGCAGCACCCACTTTAATACCAGGACCTCCTGGTATAAAGTATTCTCATACATTACAGCAGATCCTTTCACATCCCCACAACATAATCCTTTGATAGATCATTGGAGTTTCTGTATTTAAATATTAAAAATATTATCTAATTCAGACATGTACTTCCATTCCAGTTTGTTTAAATGAGAGCCATTCATAGCACACTTCTGGGATTATTAATATCATTATACCTTGACCAGGAATATATATATATATACCTCATGCATGCACACATTCTAAGGAACGGAGACTATACAAGTAGCCAAAAATGCATGTTTAGATTTTGGTGACTGGGGATACATTTTTGCCCTTAACATCATGTACCTGGAATGCGATGGACCTCTTTCCTGGGAAGTTTGGGAGGACAGACTTCCATCAAATGAGTTTCGGTGGCAGCCTGACATGGTGGCCTGGGGGGAGATGGAATCTGACTGGAAGGTTTCACAGACCACCTGGAGGCCCTTTAGGAGGAAGAGATAGCAGATTAATCTTTTTTTCCCTCAGGTATACCCTCCAGAATCAGCTATCATATTACATACACTGTTGTTGTTTTTTTAACTTAAAAAATTGCAGCATAGCTCCTTTTACAGTCATAGTCCAAGGAATTTTGCCTTCAACTAACAGAGAGTGGAAATGGACTTGGAGAGAGCACCGGTGTCGATCTAAGCATTAAGCAAAGTACTTTTATACACTTGATTTCATGTTTCCCTTGACTCAGTCCCTTTTCACCTCCATACCCAGTATCCACAGGAGAAGAGTTACAAACCAATAATTCATCAAAGATATGCCAATACTGAGGTGGACCAAACAGAGTCATGAGGCTGAAACCAAGCAACAGGTTAGTAAGAGCTAATCAAATAGAAGCTAGACATGAAAGTGGAAGTGCAAGGTTCAGGTTTTTCCACCACTCAGTGGAGTAGGGACACAACCTATATTTTTTTCCAGTTGGATACAATGACCTTTATTCAGAACAAAGACTCAGAGGCTAAAACTGCATGCTCTGTATATTGGACATAGTGCTTAATTAATGGAAGGGATAACCAGGGTTTTTTAATAAGGGTGATGCCAGGTGGTAGAAGCACAGAGAACTAGGGAGGGGAGTTTGGTCTTGAGGTAATGGATCCATAGGGTCCTAAGAAGGAAGGGATATGATGAAACGATGACACCTGGCATATAATAAGCCTCTGTGGAATGGTGAGTTAATAAGTGATGCCTTAGGAAGATTAGTCAGACATTATTAATTGTTATTTATGTGAAGCAGGAGAGGCTAGAGGTAGAAAATCCAATTAGGCGGTTCAAGCTTCATTCTACTTATGAGGACTTGGATTTAGAGGGTAGTAGTAGAGAATAAAGAGGACCTCTGAGCTACATAACAAAAAGAAAACAAAATATGATTTCTCAGCAAAAAAAATCAAATAGAGAGGATTAAGGAAAATGAAATATGACATTTATGCATTTTATCTACGATTTCATCAGTTATATGATACACCATTATTTTGTGTTCAATTAAGGAAAAAGCTAGGACACTTCTTATCAGTGAGGACTTCCCATTTCATACTTATTAAAGGGGCTATCTCAGACTTATGTAGGTATAGATTTTGATTATATATCCATCTGGTGTGTCTGTAAAAAGAAAAATATAAGTGAAATTAATTGGTGTAGGCATACCTAAAAATTTTTTTACATTTAGAAATTTTAACTCAGAGTTGTGGATATGTGATTTTCCATGGAATGACTTTTTCTGTGTCAAGAATGTTGTTTTGTAAAAGAGTGCACCACTATACCCTCTGACATATTCTTCTAAAACCACCAATCCTGATTCTGCAAATTCAGATGCTGGAAATGACCAAATTCATGCTGTGCAATAATGACAACTATATCAAGACTGCTACCAGGCAGGGAGACTATCAGAGGACAAAGATCATCAAATACACTCAATTTCAAAAATGTTAAAAGTGAAAAAAATAATACATGGTAGAAGAGATGAAATGTAGTATATAAGTCACAGTGTCTGTATTCAGCAATGGCTCAGTAAATAGCAGATATAATAGCACCTCACAATTTTCAGTTTGGAGGGTATAAAGAATGATGAAACTCCTAGCAGTAATACTCCATCATTTGAAAAAAGGATCTGATTTAGATGGAAGCCAGCAAGTTGTATTTTGTGCATGTTGAATTGGAGGTGAAGGCAGGTCCTTGGGACACATGCTAAGTTAGTGGCAGAAGCTTTGAACTACTCCTGCCTTCATTTCTTTCTTTTCCAAACCAAATAGTGCATGCAAAATTTCCATTGAATTATATTCGATTTATTATGCATATTCTGTTTTATTGTATTAGTCTTGATTCTTCATTAAACATTTCGTTTCCTTAAGGGTAGGACTGTATATTATGACTCTTCTACTCCCACCTTCATACCTGCGACAGCACTGTCACACCTACATTAGGATTGCTTAACAAATAGGGGATTTAATAAATGACTTAGAACAAGATGATTAGTTAACGTGGGATGAAAAATGATAACTAACATTTAATGTTACATGCTAGCCATTGATATAAAGCGCTGCTTACCACACACTAACCAATAGCTGAACACTGTCTTGTTTCAGCACCCCACCCACACTTCTGAGAAGGGCATAAGATTACTTTCCACATCGATAGATATAAAACGTGAGGATGTTTAAAGTTTCACATTCAGGGAGGAGGAGCCAGCATTGAAGCCAAGTTGAATCATTCTAGAACTCATGTCTTACTCTTCACACTACACAGTGTCCAAGGAATGACCGCCCCCTTTCTTCTCCTAATAAAAATGAACTCACCTCTCCATGTCTTGTGTCCTGATTTGGTGATTCACAGGTCTGACTCTGACTGTTAATAGGAGAGCTCCTCTTAGCTGCAAAGATGGAAGAAATTCTATCACAAATTTTGTAAGTTCATTTTATTTCGTAAGTTCATTTCATTCTCAAATAAAAATACCTATTTTTACAGTTCATTATCACCTTGAAAAGAAGATATTTAATAACATATGTTGTAAGAAAAATCAAATAACTAATTCAAAAATTAGCATTTCTACGTTGTCAATCTAGATAGATCTTATCATCTATTCAGCCTGACTCAATAGGTTAAGGTGCTAAAAAGTTGGTGATACTGAAAACAATAAAAATTAACATCTACATAGTACTTAATATCTGCCAAGTTTGTTACAATTGTTATATATCAACTTATTTAACCCTTAAAGTAATCGTATAGTAGCATATGGTATATTATTAGACACATTTTACAGGTGAAAACATAAAGCACAGCAAGTTTAACTTGCCCAAGGTCACACCCTTGTATGAAGGTTCCAGCTCAGGTTATCTGTGCTTTCATGACCACAATAAGCTGCCCCTGAAGTACCATAATTCAAATCATTTCCATCGTTAGCTAAAATGCCAATGCTCCATTTGAATTGTGAGTAATCTGGTGCTGAAAGTGGTTTACCAACCTCACAAGACAAGAAATCTGGGGGAGTGTCAACCATGTGCCATTGCTTTTTCTTCTGGCCCCATTGTCTAAGCAGAGTTTAATTTCCCTCAGATGCTGGGCACCATTTCCAGTCCTCAGGGATCAGGAAGAGGGAAAAGAACCCATTGTGGATATCATCCGGAAGCAAAGGGAGGGGAATAGCCCAGGTACTATTCACATGGACATGAATTCTCAATAGGTTTTGTACATTTGTTAAATGATCGTTTAGGTATGAGGAGAGAGAGGGAAGGAGTTAGAGAGAAAGAGAAAAAGAGAGAAAACCTAAGTCTGAGGTGAACTCTACATTCACATAGGAAAATGAGAGGTCTTAAAATAAATGAAAAAAATGTTTTACACAAAGACATGGCTTTTCAGTAATAGTTTTTTACTGAATATTTTATTTTCTTATGTCTTATTTACACTGTTTTTAGTTTTTTAACCTCCTATATGTCTTCTCTCTCAGATTACTTTAATCCAATGAAATAACCTCATTCTCTCCATGGGATCTGAAATAGAGCGCTTCTGGCTATGACATCTTTCCTTATTTAGTTCCTTGATATTTAAACCATATGACAGACTGTTACTCTTGATTTTATAGCTTATTTCAATAATTCATGTATTGTATACATGTAAGTTGTGGGGTTAATCTACTTTTACTATATGAAAAATGTCATCTTCTTTTTGAATGACTATAGGAAGCATGCTATGTCACTATAAACATCTTATCCTATAGATGAATAACATGGCACTCCTAATTTACAAAATTCCTTAACATATTATGTACCTTGAAAAGTTGTATTAAGTTACACAGGAAGTTTAATTGACTTATTCAAAGTCACACAACGCAACAGCATATGCCCTTAGTTTGGAGTTTCTGATCATGAGAATGACTCCTGTACTGGGAACACCTCAATAACCCCCTTTGCATCGAACTGGCTCCTAGTGTGGACTTTTGGGGATCTTGAGATCTGGGCATAACAGTTACACAGGAAGTTTAATTGACTTATTCAAAGTCACACAACGCAACAGCATATGCCCTTAGTTTGGAGTTTCTGATCATGAGAATGACTCCTGTACTGGGAATACCTCAATAACCCCCTAGAGAAAGTTTCTTTCTCTTGGCTTCTTTAAGGGCAAATGCTCCCATCACCCTCCTTCCTGCACATGAGGAAATCTGCTAAGACCATCTCACTGGGTGTCTGAGGCACCAACCTGTGATGATGTTCCTGATGGGCTTCACCAGTGCCGTGAAGCCAGAGACTTCGGGCTGTCTGTGCTCCCACATGGGCTGCCATATAACAAGCCCGCTGGCCAGACGGAACGTGAGGTCAGATTCCTGGGGGAAGAGAAAATCCAGGTCTAAGTGGCCTCTAAGAACTGGTTGAAGGGACCAGTCCATGCAAGGATTAACATCACTCACAAAATTATTTTCAAAATGGGTTGACTTTCCAAATCTTTCATCACACAAATGAATGTTTCCATGGTAAACCAATAGTCCTAGGTTATCGTCACAAGTACTACGGAAATCACGGTGGTCTGCTTTATGCAATATTAATATTTAATTAAAATTCTGCTTTGGGCAAAGCATGAAACACGCAAATTATTGTTTTGTATTAGCAGTGACCGAGGCCTGTTTATTTCAAGTCTTGGCAGATCTCTCTCCTGTGGTAATCATTATTATTCCTCTTAATTATTTAATTGTCTGTCTTCCTCATAAGGCAATATCCTCAGATGCTATTTGACTTTCTATTCTCCAGTCCACCTCTTGTTCTTGCATTTCACGGAATCAGGAACATATATTTAGATTCTTCCTAGTGTATTATTTTGTAGTGTTGCCTTCTCAACAATCTTTAACTCCTTGCGGGTGGGGATATATCAGGCATCTTCCCTTCCCCACAGCCCCTATCATCATCATAATGCTTAACACAAACAATAGGAATTGGGTGCACAATATGTGCTCAATAAATACTTGAATTGTACTGACTTTACAACCCGAACTCACTCAATGTATCTACAATTAAAGGTCTATTGCAGGGAGCACATTTTGTGTTTCATCGTCACATCATTTTGAGAGGCTACGCTTAAGATTCATTCTCACATTGCATAAGTACAAACATGTGACATTCTGAGATTACATGTTAAACAACTCAGCCTCTCAAAACAAAGTAGAGATGGAAGCAGAGAATGTGGTAGATTAATGCATACAGCTGAGACCCAGACATTCACTTAGGGAAGTGATTTGCAACCTTGGCTTGCATATTATAATCGCCTGGGGAGCTTTTAAAACACAGGAGGCCTGGGTCCCACTTCCTTCCCTTCCCAGACCAATTAAATTAGAGTTGCTGTGAGGTTTTCTAAAGTTCCCCCTGGTGACTCCCCACACATAGACATGTTTGAAAACCACTGATCTAGAAAGATAAGAGCTGGGAAGAAATTGGAGAAAAAGTAAAGTGATTTTGCAAATGGTGAATCAATGTAGCTCAGTGTCAAAGGAAGCCTCCGCTGGAAAGGCTGAGGAAATATCCAAATAAATCTGCATATGGGGAGAGAGAGGGCTCTTCTGTAGCTATTGATTGGGATCCTGGCACCACAGCAGTGCCCACAATAGGAAAGCCTCTAGGACTCCCCGTGGAAGTACATTCATTCTATAAGCATTTAAAGACCACCCACTATGTACCTGGTACTATTCTAGGTTCTGGGATACATCAATGAACAAAGCACACAAAACCCCCTGCTCTTCTAGTGCAAAGGAGAATAAAGCAGGTACAAAGATGTGTCAGGCAGTATTTCTGTTTTAGACTGAGGATCGCCAGGGAAGGCTTTATTGTGAAGGTTAACTTTTGAGAAAGGAGCTAAAGGAAATGAAGGAGCTGCTATGTAGATTTTTGTAAAGAAAGCATTATGTGAAAAGGGATCAGCAAGTACAAGGTCCTAAGTATGCCTCATGTGTCAACAAATAGCCAGGAGTCAAGTGATTTCAGAACAGTAGAAAAAATATGATCATAGAATTTACCGAGTTCCAAATAATACAGGGCCTGATAGGCCATGTTGAGGACTTTAGCCAGGGGTCCTCAAACTTTTTAAACAGGGGGCCAGTTCACTGTCCCTCAGACCGTTGGAGGGCTGGACTATAGTTTAAAAAAAACTATGAACAAATTCCTATGCACACAGCGGCGGCAAAAACACCCGGTGGGCCGGAAGTTTGAGGACCCCTGCCTTATAGCATGGTGCTGTTGCAGACCTAGTCCTTTCTCTACCATTTTTGCATTAAGATTCTTCTAGTTGACAGTGACTGAATGTATCTCAAACAGCCTGAAACCCAATAGATACTTTATTGATCACAAACCTGAAAAGTCTAGGAGTGTATCTAGGTGTCAAAGTCTGGGGGGTCCAAGTGCCCCTAATGTGTCATCGAAATCCAGTTTCTGACGGTGTTTTTCTCAGCACTTGGACCTGGCTTCACTCTGAGGCAGGATCTCTTCAAGTGGTATTCTCTGGTGGTTCCAGACTTGTCACCTTTACAAGCAACACCAGTTGGGGGAGAGGGGGGAAGCATATTTCCAACCCAAATCCTGAGCACCCCCTGGGGCTGAAGCGCATGAGTGAGGTGGGGCATTTCCACCTGAGTACAGAGAGGTGGTTCCCCAAGTTGGAGTTAGAGTTTGCATAACAAGGGAAATGGATGCTAAGCAGACAAATATCAACAAATGTCCCCTGCCACTATGCAGTTTGGGTGGCTTCTTTATGTCTTTTTGCCTTTGCACACTGCCAGCCCCTCCGATAGCAAGAACTGTGTTTATTCATGCTGTGTTCCCACTCAGAGCTATCACTGTTTGAGGTGAGGCAAAGTAGATATTGCAGCCAGCTGTCAGCTGCAGGGACTGCAGGATCCACCACAACATTTGAGCCCAGGCCAGGCTCTTCCCTGGCTTCCCTTTGCCAATGACTGCGTACAGCAGGGCTTTAGGGCCTGACTGTTTCTGCCCAACACTGTCCTCCCCTAAGGGGCAGGTATCTCTTGAAGACAAGCTGAGACCTCCTTCTGTTGTGTGCACTTATCCTCGAGCATCATACTTATTTGTTGATCGATTTTAGTTTGCCCAAGTAACACCAGTAAATACGATCACTCTTCAGACCTGAATACTTGCAGAACCCATGGTCTTCTCTTGTTTTCCTTCGTAAGTTCTCTTAAGTTAGCTGAATCCATAAACTCTGGAACCCTAATTCCGCTTCTAGAGTCCTATGTAATGGGCCACCCAATGCTATGTATGCATACATGACCAGAAACTGATAACTGGAGAAGATAATCTTTATCATTCAAACAGCTAAAGGGCGCACAATAATTTCAGGTACTGAAAAGTACTAAGAAAGAAAAAAAATAGAGGCATGTGCTTGTGGCTCTAAAGTAGCCAGGGAAATGCTTTCTGAGGTAGTGACATTTGAGTTGTGAGTAAATCCATGAGAAGGACATGGCCATGTACAAATCTAGGGGCAAAGCATGGCAGTAAATGTTTCAAATGGAAGGAAAAACCAGTGCAAGGACCTGAATGCAAGAATGAACTTGTCCAGTTTGAGAGTGGAGGTTAATGAACAAGAGAGAGGCTAGTGAGATGGAGGGTGATGAGACCGAGAAGGTTGGCAGGACCCAGGACCTGCAAGTCCCATAGGCCAGAGAACAGTCTCAGTTAAAGCAATGCCTTCCATTGAGTGTAACCTTTATAAAAAGACCTTTTAACATGAAAAGTTAAAGTTTTCAAAGTAGCCATTTAATTTGATCTAACAACATTTAAAAATTTTAGTATGTTTCATGGGCAATGTGGCCAGTGCATGCAAATCATTTGGGAATTTACAGGTAATTTCAGTTCCATTCCTAGGAGCAATGGGACAGCTTTAATTGAAAGTAAATTTTGCCCAGCTGCAGTGGCTCAGTGGTTGAGCATGGACTTGTGAATCAGGAGATCACGGTTTGATTCCTGGTCAGGGCACATTTCTGGGTTGTGGGCTCAATCCCTAGTGAGAGGTGTGCAGGAGGCAGCCAATCAATGATTCTCTCTCATCACTGATATTTCTATCTCTCTCTCCCTTTCCCTTCCTCTCTGAAATCAACAGAAATATATATTTAAAAAAAGAAAGTAAATTTTAACTAAAACTAAAATGGGTAAAAAGACTCATTAGTCCATGCCCCTCATAGTGATTGTTAATGGTCTCACAACCATCTTCATATATTACTAACTTGAAACATCTATTCATTAGGATCCTAATATTCCATTAAAGAACAGTTGAGCATATTAATTCCTTCTTATCTCTCATTTTAGCATTTAGTTGGAATATTATAATTAAGTCACAGAAATAACAAATACTTTTTTATTTCATTCTATGTTCTGGAATGGTACTATGTCTTCACTTATATCTGCCCTGTGTTGGAACTATCCACAATTTTATGCAATGGAGGATCCAAAAGCTTAATACACCAAGATCACACAGCTGGAGCATGGTGATTTCAGATGATATTCTCTCTTTCAGATCCAAGGAGTATATGGATATACTTGTATTTTAATGCAATTGGTTTCCATGTAATCCTATGTTTTGTATTCTATGCATTTAAAAATATTTGGAAAGCAATTCTTGGTTAGGTTGAACCAACCTGTCAAAAAGTCCACAGCACATGAAAATTAAAAACTTCTGTCTAGATCCTGTATTATAATAGAAGTAGCTACAGAGTGCTACAGAAGTACAAAGGACATAATGCCATACATAAAGTCTACATGGAGAAGGTCAGGGGAAAATACTCATTAACGTTGAGGTTTGAAGAACCATGAGAGGAACTTAAGCCCCAGATCATGCTTGAAATTATATGCCATATTTAATATGTTGGACATCATCTTGGGGTAGATGGTTAACCACTGGATGTTTTTAAGTCGGTAAATGACATATAGAAGACTGTGTTTTTGAAATAATGTTCAGTAGTTTAATAAAACTCATGTCTTGTTTTGCTACAAGATCATCCAAAGACACGATTTTTAAGTAGGTAAATGACATATAGAAGACTGTGTTTTTGAAGTAACGTTCAGTAGTTTAATATAAAAATAAAACTCGTCATGTCTTGTTTTGCTACAAGATCATCCAAAGACACGGACACCAAATATGGAAATACCATTTAAAGCTCATCTTCACTTCACCCGTGTCCCTCCTCAACCTAACACTACCTTTCTGCTTACCTTGATCCTGTGGACGAGAGGAGCAAACAGAAACACAAAGAGCTCCACAGTAGCCATGGAGTTATGGAATATCTTCCTTCGGTTGTTCTCTTCGTCATCGTTGGAGCTGCTTTGGCAAGGCAGCCCTGGAGAACCCTGGTTTTCAATCTGGTGGATAAAAGCGCTGCTACTGCCACCCCAGCTGGATCCTCGGTCTGTGCCCCCAAACCGCTCACTGTTGCAGTCCTGGGGGGCCTCCAGGAGCATCCAGTGGAGGGTGTGCAGGAGTTTTGTCTCAGCAACACCCAGTTTATCCTGGTGGCCTGCATGGGATACCCGCAGAGTCAGGTTAAGGCAAACTCTGTGACCAGAACAATGGCTGTCAATTTGGGGTCTGGAAGACACCCTGGCTTTGCTCTGGGAGACACTAGCATTTCTCTGTGCCCCTTACAACCACTGCTGAAAGGGCACATTCATTTTGGCGGCTTCTAACAGGCTGCAGTCTTTGCAGAATGACATGCTGTCAAAGGAGGAAACAATGCATGCATCCCATCTCCTCAGTCAGATACCAAATACAGTTGACCCTTGAAGAACATGGGTTGGACTACAGCAGTCCATTCAGAGGTGCAGATTTTTTTCCATAGTCAACCCTTCCTATCCTTGTCTTTTGCATCTGCAGATTCAACCAACCAGGATTGAAAATACTGTTTCAATCTGCAGTTGGTTGAATCTGCAGATACAGAGGCAGTTAAAAGTTATATGTGGATTTTCACAGGTGGGAAGGGAATGGGTATGCACCTACCCATCCCCTAATTCCAACCCTCTAACTATATATTTCCAAGTGGGCAGTATAATGGTTAATAACATAGACTCTGAAGATAACAGCTACTATATTTTAGGCAATGTGACTAGGAAAGGCACCTCGATGAAGGGAACATTTGAGCAGAGACCCAAATGAGGGGAACGGATTGGATGGAAGAGAGCACAAACACTAACATGGGGTAGATGGCTAAGATAAACCATCATATGATAAAATAAATCTACAAAATACCTAAAAAAGAAAAACAATCTTTATGCATAGGCACACACATACATACAGTACCACAAAGTAAATGTAGGTACTTTAGGAGCTGGGAGAGCAAAGAGGACAACTATGATGGGTGAGAGTCTTTAGCTTTCCTATAAAACATTCATGTTTAGAATGATAATATATTCATGTACTACTTGTAAAATTAATTAAAAAATAAGAGAGCCAGTTCCCTCATTGGTAAAATGGAGATAACAGTGGTACCAACATGGGGGGCAGGGTGAGAATTAAATGAGAAAATGTGTGCACAGTGTCTGGGAAAATAGTAAATACTCAGTAACTGTTAGTATGAATGTTGAACACAATGGATGATGGCATGCCATAAGTAACACAGGAGCACCAAACCGTTAGTATGAATGTTGAACACAATGGATGATGGCATGCCATAAGTAACACAGGAGCACCAACCCAGCTTGTTCCTGTTGGAGAGGAGGGTTGCCGTGCAGTGGAGGACATGAGGCAAAGCTGCTTGCACCAGCTCCCATCTGGAAATACTCTGGATGGCTTCAGAGAGGGCCGGAGAGAGGCCATGCAGCTTGTTTTCTACCAACACTCGTTCAAAGGACTATAGATACAAGAAGAAAGAAAGAAAGCATCTAAAATAAGGATTCAGAGAGTCTGACTGGTGAAAATAATGACATCAAGGTACTGTAGACCCTAAAAGATGCAAATTACTGGACCTGATTCTTTAGCGTGCACATGCAGTGGCTCAGTAATAATTTCCTATTATCTACCCATTTTCAGGTTTTTATCCAAAGTATATGGCTTGAACTATTAAATGATTACCATACCCATCAAACTAAGCTTATGCTAACAAAGAGTACAGCACAATCAATTCTTGCAATTTGGGGATGTAATATTTTATAAAATGCTGCTAAGTCATCCAAAGAGGGTGTCACAACTGCATAACAAAGTGGAATGTCTTTTGTAAAAGTGTCTTGAGGAACAGAACATATGTCAATGTTCAACAAGTGTTAAATAAGATATACTTTTTCAAGAAATCTAACTTTGGAATTATTAATGTTTATTGCATGCAAATGGCTAATTATTTTGTATCTATAATGTGGTAATAGATTTATTTTGTAGATTGTAAATAATAATAATAGCAATAATAATAAAATACTACCTTAAACGAAAGTCAAAAAATAAAAAAAGAAATTGAACTTTGAAGTCCCTGAGTTATTATCCCATGTCCCCAGCAATGACTGGGCACAGGACACTCCTTACCTAATGCTTGGAACCATAAAGATACCTGCTGAGTAAAGAAAGGAAGGGAGAGGAAATGGGTGGGTGGGAGGGAGGAGGAAAATGAGCATTTTCTTTGGTGGTTTAACTCTTCTGTCCTGGCCCGGGATATTTTCTGAGAGTGTAGTAACCCATAAGAAGTTTGACTGACTCAGGTTTGTTGTTGTTGTTGTTGTTTGTCTGTTTTGAAGGAGTATATATCACTACAGAGTGTTGAGGAAAGTGTAGCTACAAAATATAAAATAGATTTAATAATTATTTGACTTGTATGAACAGAACCCAATTGGCACTCAGCACCCCAAATGGTCTAGAAACTGTGTAAGTGTGCTCTAGAGTGATCATAATGGAATCCCGAGTGTTCGAGCGGTGTTATTGTAATTATTAGAATACTTGAAAAAAAGAGATGTGGCTTACTGCAGATAGTCTCCAAAGGAAACTATTTACTTTTTGACCCAAAAAAGGAAAATGAGAAACTCGTAATGAAAAGCATGCTGAAGTTTTGGTAAGGAGTAAAATCAGAGATCCAGTCTTTTTTATTTTTAAAGAAACGAAATAAAGGCCTTTGGGTATGCTGGCAATGCAAATTCAAATATATTTAAATTTCTCAGCCTTCAGGTAATTTTTACTAGGTAAAATAACTTTCAATTTAGATATTTATACCTCTATATCTATCTATCTATAAATGTGACTTAGCTATTTAATATCATGTGACATTAAACATGTCAGACATATCTTTGCCAAGAACAGAGAAAGGTTAGGATTATTTTAAGCTAGGATAATTGTAAGCATGGTTTAAAGAAGGCTCAGAGATTTCAGGTATGAAATTACTCTAACTTGAGAACAATACAAAACAATTTCCATTAAAAGGCTCTTGTTAGAAAGTTAGTTTTTAAAAATATCTCTGTGACAACTCTGAAGGGCAGGAGATACAACAGCACAAAGTCCAGCTTGAGACTGTGAGAGTGGATAAGTGTGTGTGTGTGTCCAGTTGGCTTCCATCCTAGTTTGTAGAAGGTCATCTATGTAGTAATTTATAAATATTCATGGTAATATCTAGATAGATAGGTTTCCACATTAAGTTATAATATATACAATGTGAACTCCAAATTTTAATGAAGTCTGTGGAAATCCTACTTTATTTGCTTCACAATTTAATGTCTTTTGTTCTCAATTTGTAAAATGGGAGGAATTTGTAATATGGGATTTTCTTAGAATCTCAGGACAAAGCATTCTATTTTGCATAAATACAGGGTGGGCAATTACCAGCCTAAAAGAAGAGTCATAGCCCAGCCGGTGCGGCGCAGTGGTTGAGCGTTGACCTATAATCCAGGAGGCCATAGTTCAAACTCAATCCCTGGCGGGGGGTGTGCAGGAGGCAGCCGATTGATTATTCTCTCTCATCATTGATGTTTCTGTTTCTCTCTCCCTCCCTTCTTCTCTGAAATCAACAAAAATATATTTTTAAAAAGATAAATCATAAGTAAGGATATAAAATAATAATAGACAAATAATACCAATAAATAACACAGTAATAAATAAATATAATGTAAAAATAAGTTGTTTTGTGTACTCACAACTGTTAACCTATTTTTTCCCACCCCTGTATTAATATCATTTCAATAATTACTTTATATCATCATTTTCAACTTGCACAACAAATAAAGGACATAAAAGTTCAGAATTGCATGTGACTTTGTTTGAGTAGTTCATAGACACTAATGTTATGAACTTTCATGATATAACAGTCATAATTTTGTTAATTAAGGAAATAATTTATTTTTCTTGCTTTGCAAGGCCCTCCACCACCCAATTATCTGTTATTTCTCAGCCCTCTCTCTACTGTTCTATTCCTCTTCTCACTCTAGATGAAGGTCTTTCAGACTTGCTGTTCCCTCTGCTCTTCTCTTCCCTTCCTTCAAGTCTTTGTCCAAGGGTCATGTTAACAGGTAAACCTTGTCCATCTACCACTACTAAACTGAAACCCCCACCCTAATGCTCCCTAATCTCCTTTCTTGCTTAATTTTTCTCCATAGCGCTCATCACTATCTAGCTTACTATGTATTTCACATTTGTGAGTAGCCTGTCCCCCTCCCACTAGAATGCAAACTCTGTATTTGCTGTGATTATTGCTCTCTCCCATAATCTAGAACTGTGCCTGGCACATAGTAGGTGCTCAATAATATTTGTCTAGTGAATAATACATATATAGCCAGTATGATTTAATGTCTTTCTTTGGGTTGAAAATACCACATGGAATATGGAAATCATTAAATGATGAATATCACATACCACACAAGAGGCTTCATATTGCTTCCCCAGTTTAGGCCTCAAAAATGCACTGAAAAATTAAGAGATATTTGTTATCAGCATAAATAAAATTATTATTAGAACATCCTTATGACATATCTTCCAATGAATAAAACATAATGCTACAAAACTCAAATTTCATGCTCCCCTATAGCTTGTTAATAAGCAGGCGTTGAATGGCTGACCACATTTGCTTTTACATATGTAATTACATATATGAAAGAGATGTGCATCTCTACGCTTTCTGTATCGACTCTTATTCTGAAGATTTTTTTCCTAATCAGATTCTAAATCGCCAGTAGTCAGAAGTGGTGTATTACTCATGTACAGTCATATTAAAACTGGAAAATGAACACAGCTTGTGGGTCATGATTTCCAGAATCCAATTTCTTATATGATAAATCTTAATAATAATAATAATAACAATGATAATGATGATGAAACCCTTGTTTATTGGAATAGGTTTCAGGCTTTTTCGGGGGGGTGGGGGAAGTCTTATAAAAGATCATTTTCGCCTCTGGGGATTTAACCAGGAACATTCCGCTCGCTGAATCCGAGCAAAAATGGTTAACAAGTGGGCATAGCAGATATTTGCCAAACAGGAACTAGAAAAACAACAGGTCACCGGGCTGCAATGACAGCAGGAGAAGGAGGGCACATAGGATGCAGGAGCACAACCAGTCATAATTATCTCCCCTGGCTCCCTGCCCCCTCTTCCTAGGCTCTCTGCCCTCCCCTTCCCTAAATAACGTATATATTTATCCAGCAACTGCCAACCTGCCTGTAGTCAAACTTCCCTGAAATATTTTTAAATGCGTGTTTTTAAGCGGGTGCAGAGGGCTTGCTTTCCAGCCTCGGAGGGGGAGCTGCGGGCTGTGCGCGGCCTCAACAGTG